ACTCCACGCAGAAAGATTGTGAACTTCTTGCTGCGAGGCAAAGATGCTAACTACCGAGCCACCTTGCAGCCCCTTCATAAATTACATTAGACTATAGCTGCAAGGATTATGTTTTATTGTTATTATTAATATTTGGGTGAAATATTCTGTTAGAGCCATTTGTGTATATGTGTGTTCAGGTCATTCCCCGATTGCACCAGTAGGTGGCGTATTGGACAGCAGAGCATGGAAATGTATAAATAGAAGAAGAGGCAATTACTTCTCAGGTGTGCTCAGTTTTTCAACGCTGTTTAGAGGCTAATCTTTAAGCTTTTTGTTTGTTTTCATGCAAGTAATGGATGTAAGTGTGTGCATAGCAACACGGTGGTAAATAAACACATCTTAAGCACAAGTCCGCAGATGTTTGATTTACTGCATGGAGCCGCCGCATGACGACTTGTCAGTTACATATCTCGGTTCCAGCCCCTCACTGTGGCTTAAGTTTTTTTTGTTTGTCGAAATCAAGTCCCTACATATTCCTTTAACAGCTGATGTAAACACTGCTGCCTCGTCTTCCCATATTGCTGTTTGGCTGCAAACAAATCACTGGAACAGTCTGTCAGGATCATCTCTAAAGCAACCCCTCTAAACATCAGATTTTTTCCAACTAAAATGTCTAAACTTTTCTCTATTTTTTTTTCTTTCTGTCACTGCTTTCAAGAAGCTTTCCTACTGTTTATAGTTACAGTTAATTTTGGTGGTATTTGCTAAAAACAATTCCAGTCTTCTGCCTGAAGCAAAGATAGCCTTGAGTGACCTGCAAAAAAAAAAAGGGTCATAAATAACATGATTTAGTGAAGTTTCTCGCTGGCTGTTTTAAAAAAAGCTCCCAGGAGTCCATCTAAAAAAAAAAAAAAAAGGCTGTGCAAGGTGGATGGCACAGAGCCAGACTTACACACAAACACACACTATGACTGTTACCGTCTCGCTGCCGGCCTTGTTCACTCAAACACACACCAGACGGAGGTGAAGGCCAGACCAGGGAGATTGGATGTTAATATGCTCGGATCAGAGGAAGAACTTTTAAACGGTGCCCTTCTCTCTGGGGTGCTTTAAGTCTGCCCTTTGCTAGATGTCGAAGGCTCATCTACAAGTGAGATTGTGGTGATTCGCCGAAGAAGACTCCGTTCCTTGTGCTCCAGTTTGTTTTGAGCTGCTGTGTCACCATCCAACATGATGAAGTAAAGCAGGACACCAGAAGTACTACAGCGAGCCGACAGTTTGTGAACGCGCTGCAGAAGGCATACGGCCCCTGCGGCTTTGGAAGCACATTTAAGGAAACTGTTAAAGAGAAGCAGAATGAGTTTCTCCACAGCGCGGCCTGAAAACAGAGTCAGGGGCCCAATTATCCTCTTATGAGTGTTTCCTCTTTGTCAAGGCGCGATGACAGCGAGGAGCCATGTTGCTCAGAGGGAAAGAGAAGCTGACGTTAGCAGCACCACAGAAACAAACAACATGTATGCTGGATTCATTTGTCTAATGAGCGCTCCGAGTGCTGCAGATGTTGTGTGCATGTATGAAGGGAAGCACAAGCCTGCTGACAGTAGGAGTGTGCTGGAGTTTTAAACGATGTGCAGCCGAGTTTACATCCATGAGCACAGATGTTTGCGGAGATAAGCAACCCTGGCTCCCAAATTACATTCCTATACAACTAATTTGCATTCTGGTAAGTTTTGAAGGAACCATATTTTCTCCTTGAGAGGTAAGACGAGTTTGAAGAAGAAAAAGTTTTGAAACAACGGGCGTAACTCCCATTTTGAGGCATACGGCCTCAAATCTCAAATGTCTATTGTCTGTTTCAAGAGGAAAACTTGGAGCTGGCTGCTGTTTCTCCAGGACAAGAAGTCCGTCCACACAGCACATGTGTCGTCTGACTTCTGTGTATTTCCCAAACTGAAATCCTACTTGCCTGGTTGCCATTTTCAGACCGATGAAGATGTCATTCATGCTGTTAAGGAGCATCTGGAGGCTCAAGATGTGACCTTGAACATCAGAAGACCAAGTGTGTTAAAGCAGATTATGCTGAAAAACAATGCATGAGCAATCTTTCTCCTGTGATTTTTTATTTATTTATTTTTCATGAATCTGAGAAATATTTGAAGTACAATCAGCAACAGGACCCTCACTCAGGAGGATGGTGTCATGTGTCGAACCATCACCTTTGCTTTCAGTTTTCACTTGCTGTACCAAAACTATATGGTTAGGTTTAGGTAAATGTCAGGCTTTGGTTGCAATCCCACAACAATGCTCCTTGTTAGAAGCTTGGTGAAGTTTGTGCACCAAAACTCTGTGGTTAGGTTTAGAAAAAATGCACACCTTTGGTTAAAGTACCCTTTCACAACATGTTTGAAGGGCTCCAGTTTTAACGCAACAAGTACCAGCCCATCTAATCATATGATTAACTGGCTGAAAACAGCTCCGGATATTGAATAAACATTGTGTATGCAGTTGGAAAACTGTTGCTCACCTACATCTAACCAGACTGCTGACAAATCAGTGGTCTAATCATAGAGGACCAGAACAGACAAAAACAAGGAATCAGCATCTACACAGGTGAGTATCAGGTAAACAACCACATCCACCATGTCTTGTTTGACCATTTCACCTGAGTAAAAAGGAATATTTCACATTTTAAATAATAGAATGAAACTCAAAATACTGCAATCTGATGATTTTCATAAATAAATGCAAAACTTAATCTGGTTCCAACAAAATAAATGAAATAAATGGTGAAGATATGTTGATTTGTGATACATTATAGACAAATGGCAAAATAGGTTTTCCTCAAAATGTGACTGAGAATGTAGTTTAGTTGTATATGGGCGTTCTTTTTGGAAGATGTGATGAGACACAAGAACAAAGAGGAAGACAGGCGGAAGAAGAAGAGGAGGCGGTTGAGGCTTTGGTCTTTATACTGGATGGAGAATGTAGCATGACACTGATTGGCTGAAGACTGACTGATAATCAAACACTGACTTATAGCACTCAATACAGGAGATTGAATGACCAGGCATCTGCAAACCTCTGCTGAGCTATAAGTCTTCATCATGTTTCTCAGCTCACTGCCAGAATGAGGCTTTTCTGTTTTCTGATTGATGTGTTTTTCATGAGTCAGACTTATTTACACATTACTGATGCCTTAAATACAGGACTTAGCTGTAGTGTGAGTATTGTTCTAGTGTTGTTAAGGAAAGTCTTCCCTAGTTAAAACCTTGTTTTAACAACTGTACAGAAATACAGTCAGCTAAATGCACTTACACGATCAAAACTAAAGGTAATTCTTCCAAACTGGGGGCTAAAAGGAGGAAATATTCTGAGCCTGAAATGTGTTTGGAGGGTTATGAGATAGAATGAAGAGTGGAAAAAAAACAATCAGTCCTAACCATTTTTTTTTGTCAGATGCACCAACTATCTATCACATAAGCTCCAGAAACCATCCAACACCACCAATCATGTTTTAAACTATCTTCACTATTAATTTTCATATAACTAAACAGTCAGTGTTTAAGCCAGTTTGGTAAATTTTGCATGAGTCGTACCATTTGGAGGGAGAACCTGGACATTTCAGCCATGCATTCATTACATTTTGCTAAATATTGAACGATTTTTCCAACACTTATTGACACTACCCCACTTTATGCATCACTTTCATGTCTTAATGCTCACTTTTACATCCATTTTTCATTACTTTTAGCATTGCAATTAATCGAGCCATCTATATCGACCATTTATCCAACAATTAGCTACACACGTCCTTCATTTAATGCATTAAGCAGGAAGCATTACACTAAATGCAATATATCATTAACCTTGGCTATATTGAAGAATAATGGGCAAGATTATGATGGGAGTTTGTTATTTATGCAGCTATGTGAGGTCAAGAAACAAATAACTCTTGTTGCCTGTTTAATCTAATGAATCTTAAGCTGCTTAAAAAGTTCAGAGTGTAAATGTAGTGACACATACTGTAAAGTCAGTAACATGAAGTAAAATTCTTCGCCGACTGGGAGAAATCATCACAACTTATGTGTGAAAGGGCAAAAAATTACCACAAAACATAAACACCAATTTCACAAAGGAGGAATCTGAAGTTGTGATTTGGTGTCTAGCAGTAAATACTGACAGGTACAGAATTAAAGAAGGATAAAAAATGTTTAAAAAGAAAGTTAGAAATTAGATGTAAGTCAATAGACAGTAAATGTGACAGGATAAATACGTCAAATAAACCATAAGTGCAGCAAATCCGAGAAATTTAAGGTAATAAAAAGTAATGAAATAATTGCAGTGTGCAGGAATGTGGTTGTTTGTATGCAGATCACTACTTTATGTACTCTCTGGACACTTAGGTTCACTCTATGGCTGTGTTCTCTACTTCACCTAACCATGATTTAATCACATTTGTGATGAGCAAAGCGCCCTAAGAGAGAAAAAAAACCCTTGCTTGTTCTGCTTTTGGCTCATCCTGCAGGTGAAAACAGATGGTTCCCACAGCTGCTGGGAATTAAACTTCACCGTATCACCTACATAGTTAGTGTGTGCATGAGGATGATACATAGACACACATGGATGTGGAGTTAAAAACACATGAACAAGTTTGGCTTCTTTTTTCTTTTAACTTCCTCTCCATGCTGACAACTTTGTCAATAGGTTTGAACAGTGGTGTCATCATGCTGTGACGGAGCAAGAAGTCTAGAAAATACTGGCACTACTGAAAAGAAAAGAGACAGAACAGCCCTTTTTTTCTCCTGACAGGAAGTGCTGGACAGGAAGTGAGGTGTTAAAGCACCTGTGAGCTGACAAACAAAGGAAGCATGGAGAACAACAGAGAGTGAAGAGAAAGAGAAAAACTATCCACCTCTTGCTTCAGACTGGATGTATTAAAGTAAATGCAGCAGCTTTGGGACCCAGAACCAGCTGGATGGCTCGAAGAAACTGTGACTTTGAGCCGATCCGGGGGCAGGATGAATCTGGATAAATCTTATTCCACCTCCTCTATGGCCCACTTGGACGGATGCTTGGATATCTGAGCCTTTGTTGGACCATGGCTGAGATAAGTCTCCTCTATTTCTTAGTAAATCTCCAGGCTTCTCCTCTTTTCTCTTGCTTCAGCTCAGGCTGCATTATCTCTCTCACTAGCCTCCTTTAGCTTCATTTCCTTCTTAGCCCCTCACCAACACTCTAAAACCTCATTTACTCTGTTCCCCATCTCAGAAAGTGAACTGAAATGTACTGAAACAAACTGAAGTGATTCCTTCTTGAACTAATATTTGGAAATGTTTGTTGATTACTTAAGGAGCCTTTAATTTTCTTCATCACGATACTGAAATAGATTTATTTAGTCAGTTTCAGATTTTAGTTGGGATTCTGTTGATGAACTTTTGTAGGCGATATTTCGGTGTCTGATTTTGACTGCAGTGGTATTTAACTGATTTGAAAAATGGAGATTAAACCGATGACTGAGGTTCTCTTCTATCTTGTGTGATCTTGCACCTATTGTTGCAGCAAAGGAGCTAATTTAACTGGACTATTCCTTTAATTAGCTATAAAAATATCTATCTAAGTGACACACATTTAACCTTGATTGCTTTGTCTGGCACCCAACTCAATTTCACCAAATTGAATATTAAGAATACCCCTCCACCTCACCATTTACTGCAGGGGTGGGCAATCCTGGTCCTGGAGGGCCACAGTCCTGCATGTTTTAGATGTTCCCTTCTTCCAACACACCTGATTCAAATGATCAGCTCATCATCAAGCTCTGTAGAAGCCTGATAACGATCCTGAATCAGGTGTGTTGGAAGAGGGAAACATCTAAAACATGCAGGACTGTGGCCCTCGAGGACCAGGATTGCCCACCCCTGCTTTGCTGGTTATGCCAACTTAATTGCAAAGGTGCCTGATGTTGCCAAACACAAACCAGCAATTTTTAAATGTATATCTAACATTCCTGTAACCTTTAATCATGTGACTGTGGCGACTGACTTGACCTATTCCTCTGTACATGTTTTGAAACCAAACGTCTAATAGCACATACTTGAACAGGTCAGGCTTTTGGACTCACAAAATCTTGTGTGTATGTGATATTTATCTGAGCCTGAATTGAATGAATAGTATAAAGAACAGAGGAATCCACACTGAAGCACTAAATCTGCGATTACTGAAGCAAACATAGATGATGTCACAGTAAGAAACCACCGCTAAACTTTTGGCTTCATTATAGGCTTTTGTTTTTTTATCTCCGTTCAACAAGACCCAGAGAGACATTTATCTTGAAGAAGCACAGATACGAAGTTCTCTACACCGACAGTAAATCGAAACAGAACTCAATACAGTAAAATTGTCTTCCTTTTAATAAGGGTGAGGTTGTGACTCCAGTTCCACAGTGGACTGTGGGCCAATATCTTCTGTTTTATTGTTTCTTGGAAGCCTCGTTTCATCTTGGAATAGAGATGCTTCCTGTCTTTCTTTGATGTTAACTGTCAAATAAAGACAAAAATATTCTTACTAACAAAAGAGAGTGCAATGCCTCCAGGCAGCCACAGACATGAGGTAATAGCACAATGAACCCATATCGGATTGGATCATATTTTATGTTTTATGTGAGACCTGAACAAATGAGGTTTGTGTATAATGATTCTCTGTAGATCCACGTGTTGCAGGTTTGGATTTATAGTTCAGAATGTGTTCATAGCTTCTCTGCTGTATGCTAGACTGATGAATCGTACACATTAACGACCAGCCTGCACCGCGGAGCTTTTCATGTCATTACTCTTCTTCAGAAGTGGTTCAAACATGTATAGTTACGTTATTTCAACATTATAAGATGCCATTGCGTAGTGCAGAGTCATTTTACAGTGTTTGAGAAGAGCTGTGGGTGAGACGGCCATGTAGAGTTACATAGACACTATTTTAAGGAAGGAGGGGAACTTTTTCATGGAACAGTCAGC